TAAGTAGTGGCAGTAAAAGCAGCGCAATAAATGACTTGAATCGAACTTTCATAATTTCCTGAATATATTCTGATAACGTTTTATGTGGAGTGGTTGTAAATTAATTATTATGTTTGCTTCAAATACTCCTTTTGAAGTAGTTCTTCTAGATTTTGCACAAAAGAAAAAAAAGAAAAACGAAGACACATTACGAACGAGATATACGCAAAACTAATGGTATATCTTGAGTAAGTTCTGCATTACTTTTGTTTAAATATTATTGTCGTGATAAAATGAAATGTTTCCAATTCACACGTAAGAAAATATAATTTTTTTTATTTCTACTCAAATGTCAAAATAAATGATGAAAGCGTTACCAGACTATTTTTTCTAAATCTTATGTTTTACGGGACATACGAGGAAAAGATTTTGTACTGCAATACAAAATATACTGCTCAATATTAACGGTAATAATATTATATTATTTTTTTTTTATATTTTATATTTTGAAGTTGTACTTACAGTGTGAATTATTGTTCTCTAATTCTATTGTAAATATATTGATTCACCACTACTTACTGTAGTAATAAGAGAAATATATTTCATTCTATAAGTCGCCTTAAAAGAGCACACACTTTTGTTCACAGCAAAATAAAGAGAGTATTTTCTTTTTGACATCCTTCAGTGAGAATAATTGTTTTGTTACCCACAAGCACTTCCTGCAAAGTAAATGTTTTTATTCATCGACAGTAAGAGCATTGTAGCAAAATTAACTCAACGTTGCACACCAGAGAGCATATGTACATATATCCTTGGATCAATCACATTCGCAACTCAAAGCGATACGGAATACCAAATAGYAGCTTCCACCAACATCCTTCTTCCATCTGCTGGCTACCAACTTCCATCTGTTCGTGCAACTCTTTGCGCCGTTCTTGGTTAAGGCGATGTCTCGGACGACATCAGCTATTTAGTGTGGCGCTCCAGAGCAACGGTGCAGGTTAGTTTTCGCATTCGAATTGGACTTTTATGTGGATTATGTGGTCCCAACACTATGCTTGTGGCATTATGTATTGGGTGTGAAGTGTATTTATAAGTAAAAAAATGGGAAATAATATTTCGCAAAAATATCTTGTGGAAATTTGAAATAATGTGAACGTCTATTAAGGGCAGCGTCTATAAGAGTGCACAATACTAAATTTAATTATTGCCTTAAGTAATTAGTAGACCGAACAAAGAGAAAATTTTAAATTTCAACCAAAAAATGGTACGGTTATCCCGAACAAAGGCCATTAACCAGAAGATGGAAAGAGTCTGCGGATGGGCAAAAAAAAAAAAAAAGAAAACCGCAAATAATTTCTGGACTAAAAAATAATGTGATTTACAAAGACTAGACTTGAAATGAAATAAAAGCCTAAAACATGAAACACACCCACTATCACGCTTACACACGGTTATGCATACATACATATGTATGTATGAATGTGCTATATACAAAATGCAGGCTTTTATTCATACCATTCGTTTCCCGTTCCTTTTTTAATTTCAATATTTTTTTTTTTTCAAAATTTAACAGAAAATAACCATCGAAAATTGCAAATTGCATGAAATTGAGTGTTATGGGTAGAGACGAGCGTTAGCATTCACTTGGATTGTACCCACCGAATATTTTCCTTTCGCATTTAGAGCCGCTCCCAAATTGCGAAAATAAGAACAACAACAAAAGCGAATGGTAGCAAACGAATGGTAACGACAGCGAAAAGTGGATGCTGGGCCGAGAATGCTTTACAACACCAACAACAACAATTAACAACGACAGGATACGGTTGTAAAGATAAACCGATGAAATTTAGAAAACAAAGACAGAAAATATGGAAACGAAAAAGTAAATACTTACATGTCCATATGTATGTGTGAAGCCTAAATTTTTTAATGAACCAATTGAAGGAAATTTAGCATGTGAAATGAAATTCGTAAAAAATTCAAAAAACCTAATTCTAAAGTTTCAATTATTGTAGCGAACTTATTCTTGAGCGTGCTGTTCGTATAATCCGTTATTAGGCTGCTGTAATTGGTTTTACAGTGATTAACTGGCCATTGTGTTTGTTGTTTTCATGGCCAAACTGTCCATATCCGTTTTGCAGTAGTAGCTCAGAATCAGTTGGTGTGCGGAATAGTTGACTATGATGTCAAGGCCTTTGCTGCATCATCACCAACGTTGTGCGGCCTTTACACGCACACGTGTTTCAGGTATGCCCTCATAAGTATGTAGGTACACTGAAGACCTATGTCGACATTACATACATATCTCTTGTATACCCAAGAACAAACAAGTTTAACTATGTGTAAACGCTGGTCATTGTGGGACAATTAAAAGCGGTCCTCCACTTACAAATGTGAAAAAATTGTTTTTTTTTGCAAGTAAAGGGCTTTGGCGTCGACAAGATTTTTCCGCTTAAAATTATCTCATATTTCAATAAATCGATTCCATAAAACAATGCAGGAAATGATGGAAGGACCAGCAATATTTTTATTTTTGACAGAATGACGGCTTCACAAAAGGAAAGCCGTTTTTTGTGAAAAAAATCACCCTCACTGTGGCTTAAGGGATCGTCTCCGTGTGAAATTTTCGAAAAATTTATTTTGTTTTTGTTGCATTATCGGATAGTATTCTCTCAAATTTTTAAATCCAAATTCAAATTATTACGGTCATTGGTGTTTTCAAAATGGTTTCCACTCCCTCTAGTTCCAATTTGGAGAGAACATTTTTAACATCATTAGCTATCGTGCTATGATACTTTTTGTTCAAACTGCCACCATTTTGTCAAATTTCAAAAAAAAAAGAAGAAAAAAAATTAAAAAAAAAACATTAAAAAAAATTAATGAATAAATAATAAAGCTTCCAAAGCGACCTACTTACAAATCAATAATCTTCTTGAAATTTTTGTTTTAGATCGAAATTGAGGCCGCAATGGTGGACATCGTACAAGACCTTTTTTTACGTGTCATTTTAATAATTTATTTAATTTATTAAAAAAAAACGGACCGATTAGTTAATTTCAACATTAAAAAAAATTCTAGAGAATCAGTGATTTTTCGGAKCGTCATACGGAGACGATCCCTTAAAAAGTCGATATTGTTATAATAGTATTCCTTCGATCAATACTTGGCAAGTATGTCTAAGAATTTCGTTTGAAAATTTCAAGCTAATCTCTTCAGCCATTTTGAAGAAATATTCATAAGCTATTCTTTCGAAAGCTTATTTTCAATGAATTTGAGTGAATGAACAAATTCATAATAACTCTCATCTCTGTACAACTTCTAAACGTTATATAACTAATCAAAAAACGAAAGAAACTATAACTATCAACAAATCGGATGACGTTCGTGGCAATAGAAGAAGAATTATACCTAAATTCCTCTAACATGAACTCAATTAGAAATATTACGCCTTCTTCTTTATGATAAGCTGCAGTAATAATAGTGTCATTATTCTTATTATTATCAATCTCAATTTGTTTACTTGGTCGCTCTGATTTAATCAACTCAATTTTAAAGAAGGCACCCACAAGTACARGCAGATTTAAGTCATGGAAAACTAAGTAAATAGAATCGCTTTAGGTGYAACCGAACTTTGTATACCCAATGCATGAGAGCCTAGTTCTGATTTAAAATTAACTGAAAGTTTAGAATTTGACTAAGGGGTTACATGGGTTTCCTCGGGTAAAAGCAATATTTTTTAAACTCCTTACAGGCTCATCTAAAGTGAATACGCGTTTTACCTAAAATTTTAACTTAGAATTTGAAGGAAGGAAAAACAAATACTGAAAATTAGATTTTTGCAGACATTTTTACAAAAAAATTTAAATTTCAAGACAGTTTTGTTTTCAAATAGTTGTAATCGAAAAAAAATCGTCCAAGTCTTTAAGAATTGTATCTCAAAGATCTGTGTAAAAGATCGTCAAGTTCATTGAGTAGTTCTCGAGAAATCTTGCCAATCGACTTAAATAGCACAGTTAGGAGAAAAACGAGTTTAAAGATGCCGTACTTAGCCTAGCTAACCTTGAGTGCAGAAGTTCCCAAGGCTGTATCTCGGAAACTATTACTTGAATCAGCTTGAAAATTTAGGTAAATATCTAGAGGTGTTGTAGAATTTAATAAGACAATAAAAAATTAATTTTTTTAAACTAGTAAATCCATGTAACAACTTAATATAAATATAGCGAATAAAAATAATCCAGTTTATTTTTGAAATGGATGCAAATTTTTGTAGCGATTAACCAGCTTTCGAACACAGTCTTGCAATAATTAATATAGGCGTACTTTATTTCTTAATATTTCTTCATACCAATTCGTGTTGTCAAAATTTTCTTAGTAGTTCATCGACCAGCTGCTTTTCTGTCAGCAAATTTCAAAGGAAACTAGCAACAGCCTTCCTAGAAAAATCTGAAATCTCCATAAWGAGCACACCTAATAATTGCATAGGCTCTGTTCGAATATTACARGCATGGTCTGTCTGTATGTCCATACTAACACAAACATTAGGTATAAATTTAGCAATATGAGTTTAATTGAATTTATTGCGCAAACAATTGTCTGAATTGATGTGAATGGCAAAGCGAATAATGCTTAGTAGTGCCACCTAGAAGTGGTGCCATGAGGCGCGGGCACTCTTTCATACAAGTTCTTAGTAAACGGATCAGCACTTAAGCTTAAGCTGGGGTTCATAGGCGTAAGGCTAATTTAATCATTAAAAATTTCATTGTTGATAGAGAAATCGCTTTTTTGCCTTTGCTTAGTTGCGTCGTTTGCGCAGTTATATGCAGCATTTAGTTTTGAATTCCCGTTACTAGAGTAATGTACGATTTAACGCAGCGTTCGACAGCGACAATGGACTTCCGTCTAAAGAAATTAGTTTGGATTAATAATGATAAATAATTTTTTTTCGATAAATGAGTCGAAATACTGAAAATAAATAAATATTTCTTCAGAAAAGTGAAATGATTTTATTTAGTAACACAAAGTGGTCTGTATAAAAAATTAAAAATTTCCACTTCGCAATTTAAATGTTTTTCAGCAGCTGCAAGGATTTTCAATTGACAGCTGTAGAAATAAGTGTTGACTGTGTGCAAGTGCAGTGAAGTGAATGATTGCATGAAACCGCAAATAAAATATTAAAATAATAGCATAAATACTACACGAAATATAAAGAAATAAATAAATAAAAAATTAAAAAAAAAAAACCAAAGTGTTTAGGGTAACAGAATTGAAAATCCCTAAACTCTAATGGAGTGAATGTGCTAGTTTCTTAAAAAATTTGAATACAAAACGTTGAAACTTCAAGCTCAAGATGAGGAAATAAAAATGAAAATTTGACACACGCAAACGCCACATAAGACAGCTGAGCCGAGCATACAATGTCTGCAGCTWTCTTCTGTTTTTATGTAAGTTGTTAAGTGTCTTACTAAAATACCATAATCACTTTGGCGCACATTCACTAGTAATTAAAGGTGAAAGAAACTGGTATGTAGGCAAGAAAGAATGTGAAAAATATAAAAAAGAGTTAAGTCCATAAAGTGTCAAGTAGCACAATAACAAGAGCCACCAAGTGCCACCAACTCAAACAGCCAGGCAACAAAAGTGTCTTAATCACACACACACACACAATTGCGGGTAAATATTGTTTGGATGCGGTGCATGGCCATATAAAAATACGTTCGCTTACATACGCACAAGTGGATAAAAGTCCAAAAGGGCGTGTGTTGACTTTGCAAAGTAGGAGACTGTGCGTTTTTTCATTRTTTTTATTCGACTTTTTGCGTCCTTTGATACTCTCTTCGAGTATATAATATACATCTTCATCGTTCAKCAGCAAGTTTGTATGTGTGCGTAAGTGCTTACAGGTTCTAGCAGCAGAAGTTAGTACGCTGAAAAACTATAAAATGTGTAATGAACGATTTGCTCCTCTCCATGAGTGTCTTTGCGAGAAAAATTAAAAACAATAAGGCATCTAAACATATAAATATAAAGATATGTACACGTATTGTTGTATTGTTGTACATAAGTCGACTCAAAAAAGTGCACAAGCAACGACAACAAGCAGTTTTAGAAACAGCTGCCAAGTGTCGACTGGCAGCACAAAAAGAGTAGCTGAAAGTTGTTAGAAAGGCTTCATTACATTGATTTCAGTCAATACATATATACATTTGAAAAAATATACGCTATTTTATTCGACAATTTATTTTCGAAACCGTCACACCAGCATGCCAGCCACAATTAAGTGCCATTGACAATGTGCTTTTAAGTGTATTGGTCGTGGAGTCTGTACACGCTCGTTGAAGAGTACAAATGGGAGTAAAGAGAACGTCGCGGAAAGAAGCACACGTGGCGAAAATGAGTAGTGTTACACATTTAAATGGAGTAACGGTACTCTTATAACAACTATCAACTATTTATATAAAATAAAAAAGCACAGAAGTCTGTGGTAATTTATTGAAAATTACCCATACGCCATGACGTACTATGAACTGTTGCATTCATATAAATTCAGATCAGCATATTTTTTCTTAAATAAATTCATGGTAAATATATATAGTAGTAGATAGAACTATTTTATCACTGATAAATAAACATACAAACAATAAACTATTAGCTGAATGGGAAATACATAAGGACAACGGTAATAAGAAAGACGAAAACAAGTTTTGTGAACTCTTTTATTTATGAGTGCTTTGCTGAGAGCGTTTTGTAACACAAAGAGAAAGCCTTATCCCTCTTGATTATGGAATGAAAGTGAGTGAAGCCGAGGAAGGATTTCGTAAATATAAATATTAAGAGAGTTTAAAATCCTAAGTTTTAAAATATAAAAAAGTTTGTTTTATTAATTGTTTAATAAGAAATGGCATAACATATTAATATTGTTTCGCTTTTATTCCAATTTATCAACTTTGATTATACAAATGTATTTGCTGTTTCAGAAACAAATAAAATCTCTTTTTATAATTGTTTCGCAATATTAATTTTTTTTGTGTTTTGTTGTTTTCTTCAACATTTATCGACATATCTAATTGCTCAAAATTACTGTAAACTCATTCTAGGCAAAAGGATATTAGAAAAGTGAAATTTTGTGCGCACAAATACAAACACATTTAGCCAGCGACATTTATTGCCCTTATCACGCACTCTTCTTTGAAATTTTTCCATCCTTTAGCACTTACCGTTTATTATCTAAATAAGCACATAAATTCCAACTAAATATCAACAATGTCGCAGTTAAAAGTAAAGTAGTTATATAATACTATACTAATGTAAACAAGTCAAAATATAATATACAARAAACGAATATTTTTTGGCTAGACAGTTATAAACATTGCTCAGTTTCAAATGTTTGATTGAAAAGTTAAAAGTATTTATTTAAATTATTTTAAAAAAATATGAAGATTTAGATTACTCGTAATGGTTTAATATTTTTTACGAGTACATACATTTTACTTGCTACATTTAACCGCTATAAAGCAGTTGCAGGCGCTTCACGTAAGCACTTCTTCTCACATAATCATTATTCTATTGGAAAATAGTTGTGTTTGAGATAAGAATGTAACTGCCATATAAGCTGGTTGATCAAAATCAAGTTCTTGTAAGGAAATTTTTTTATCTGAAAAGATATACTCGCGAAATTTGGGCGGATTATTGTCCAAGAYAATCTTCGAATGAGTTGTTCAGATCGGAATAATATACATCATATAACGAGTGACGCATTCCGAGGGGGAAAGGTCCACTTAAAAATGGTTTTGAATCTACCCCTATATAAACTGACTGGTAAAAATTAGGTTTTTGTATGAGAATTTTTATACTCTTGCAAATGCTGTCACTTGAGTAAAAATTAAAATATCTTGATGAAACATGGTACACATGTATTGAAATCGGAAAATAAGCCGACTACTTCTGATTTAACAGTTCTGTTAAAAACTACTAAAAGGACGATAAATCAATAACTAAATACGACAGAGAAATAAAAATTTCAACTAAACTTGATACGTGATATCCTCCGTACATTTTTATGTTACAGTATTCATATTTTACTTGATCCTTTACCTTCCAACCAAAACTGTCAAAACCCTTAGGTACTGAACATGTTGTCCACAGTGCGTATGATTGACTTTTAATTTAAAATATCGGTCAATGTATGGAATATATCATTAAAATTCAGAAAAAATCCACACCTGATAATAGTATCTCTGTGTTCCAAAAATGGGTGGAATTTGGCCTATGCTTCTCTGAGCCCTCATATATCTAACATAAAGATTTTCGAACTTCCAGGYGACTTTATACCGCATATATGGGCCTATATGTGAGTTATCTTAATAAAATTAAAGGAGAGTGTTTTTCTTATAACAGTGTATCTTTGTGCTTAAAATAGATAAAATTGGGCAAAAACTAGACATAGCTCCTAGATAACTAATATCAGAATTTTCGAAGAACTGGCTGACTTTATTCTATATGATT